GGTGGCCTGTAATTCAAACTAATGAAAGAGTGTAAATTTTTCGGTGGATAGGGTTGCGATTACAGGAAAGAATAAGAAATTAAGGACAAAGGAAAGCAGAATTGTTCGCCTAGCACTGTAAATTCGTGTATAAGGATAGAGGCCAGGCTTCGTCCAAGTAAAGCATTTAATAAGATTGTTGCTGATGAGACGAGCTTATACATGTCGTATAAAATTGTCGTTTATTTCAATTGCAAATACAAGTTTAACACATTGATACAAATTCTACAATAAATGTGAATTTCAGGTGCCTGGTTTCGCTTTACAGTTCCATCAGTCATGTAACCCCTTAGGTATCCATTGCCATGTGACGAAATGGTAGCCACTTGACTCACATGACCCGACTTAGCAATAGATAAGGTTGCTGATGAGACCTAGAAGAGGTCGAAAGTTGAGTTCTTTAGAGAAATAAGGCTATGCGAAATTATGTTGAGTGAGGTCTAGTCACGATATATAATGGTTTTTGACTAATAGTTATGTAAATTTATAACTTAATATTTGTTAAATACCAAGACTTGGATGGATGTCATAATTTCGCAAGCAAATGGTGAGTGAATCAGGCTATAGTCAAAGTGTAGGAGAGATCCACCAGAAAATTTCAAGTGGATATAAAATTTGGTAACAAAATATATTTAACGTATTATCATATGATGAATATAAGAAGGCTTACTTCAAATGTGGAGAAAGTGAGGCTCCTAAAGCTGGCTTTTCAGATGGCAAAAAAGGATTAGCTTCAGCGGATGATAACTGATCTGATGCAGAATTAATGGTCTGGTCTTCGTTAAGCAACGGAATTTCTGGCATATCTGATTGTTCATCAATTAAATCTAATATCAAAGCTTCATGCTCCTGCTCAGCTTGACTGAATGTGGAAATGGTGTCCCACTCGCTATCGTGGCTGTTACCATAACTGTCATCCATCCCGCCGTCATCAGGTAGGGCCAGTTGATCAGAGGAGTCGGCCTCGCTATCTGACAACAAAGTTGAATCATCGTCATCTTCGTCATCGTAAAAGGCAGATTGTCCTAAGCAAAATAGATAACGAATAGTGTATATAGAGATAGCCAATGTAGATCCAAAGAGGCTGGCTTGTAATACGTTTGGAAATCAAAATTGAAAAAATAAAGTATGACATATATGAAGAAGCTAGGAAATAATTTGCGAGTGGAAACATTCAAGTCCTAAAAATACCACTACTAACTCGAAAGCTAGCGGTATCAAGCCAAAGATAAAATAATCATAAAAATACCTTCTAGCTATTCACTCAGATCTTCCAATGAATTAATGGTGCAAGCGAACAGAAGTAGGTTATCAAAGAATTCCCTAATAATTTCGCCACTGGACTTTTTTACGTCAAGATAAATTTGTATCACAGGAAGCAAAGGGCGATTGGACCGTATAAGAAGTCCTTGGCACACCGTCTAGCGATCCTAATGGCTTTCTTCAGTCATATGCCAAACACCTCTTAGAGCTAGAAATAATCTTTTACGAAAAATCCACCAAATATCAGCCCAAAAGATGACAGGATGCAATCTCCCCTAC